GGTGAAAAGTGGTTTGCTGTGGTACCACATGGGCAGCCCTGCCCCTGGGCTGGACGGTTGGGGTTTTCCTGGCTGGGACCCCAGATCCCTCTCTGACCTTCAGTTTCCCCATCAGTGTGAGAAGGCGGCTTTTCCCTCCCTGCAGTGGCACAGACAGTGAGTGCCATCCTGGTACTGCCGGGCCCAAGGGCTGCTCTCTGTGCTGGGGTCCCAGAGCAGGGCTTCCTTCCAGCTCTTTGCTCCCCGGGATGTGCCCAACAACCCCATGGCTGGGCTGGGCCTGGAGCGCTCACCTGGCAGGCATCGGCCTTGCAGTCGAAGTAGCCGGCACAGAGCATGTTGGGGCTGACGTCGGCCCCGTAGACCTCCGGGCTGCTGCACTTGTGCTGGGCGACGAGGGGGACCAGGGCCTCCCGCAGCGAGCTGGAGTAGCTGCTCATGTCTGCATGGGGCAGGGTGTTCAGGGGAGGGAGAGGCCCGGCTCCACCCCACACCCACTGCCCCCGGCCCCTGCCCCCACTCACTTTCACCCACGTGACCCCAGCCGGCGATCTGGCACTTGTATCCGGCGGGGAAAGGGCTGCTGGGCTCAGGCAGGCATATGGGCTGGACAAACTGGGAACGGACTGCGCAGCGGTCCCCCTTCTTCTTCAGCCGGACCAGGACTAGGTGGGAGAGAGATCTGAGGTCAGTCTAGGCATCAGGACGTTGAGAGCAAAGGCTGCTGGGGGCCCGTGATGGGCAGAGAAGGCCCAAAGGGCCACACAGGGGGTACTCCCTGGGCAGAGAGCTTATGGCCTAGGAGACCCCATGGCTGCAGGGAGGGCCGGCCCCCTGGCCTGCCTTGCCCCGGGACCCACGGTCCTCTGGCCTGTGGAGCATGGCAGAGATTCTGCAGTTGGGACAGTGCCCGGCCCTCCCACCCGCGGAGGCCCGAGGCCTGTGCGCACCCAGGTCGTGGTCGCCCGGGTTGAACACGGAGTACCGGGGATACGGGATGTACTTCTCGATGCCAAAGGTCTGCGTCACGTCCGTCGTGAGGTTGAAGAAATGCTGGCCCAGAACCACGGAGACGCTCTCCC